GAAACCTCATTTGGACTATTGGATTGAGTGATATAAGATTATATTTTATCTAATTTGTAATTTGTAATTAGGATAAATATATACCTAATTATCTCATATAATTATTGTGGAGTATTCTTGGCGAGAATTGCCTCCTGGTTGTGTTAGACATAACATAACATATTTAAGAAAGGGTTATTAGTGGATCGAAAGACCTTATTAACTATTAAAACTCTCGATTGACAAAATTAGCTTTGAAATTATTGATTGGATTAAAATGGAGTCTAAGAAGTTAATAAGAGATTAGTTACTCTAGGTTATTTTTTACTCAAGTGGTTGTTGGATTTAAACATTTGTTGCATTTTATTAAATTCAATTTAGTTTTGGTTAATCAATTAATTCTAATTGGTTATGCTTGACTTAAACAAAGCAGGAACTTTATTGCCTAATCGTTTTTGCTTGATTTCTCGTGGGATTGACTTTGACACACTAGTATATTATATATTGACTCGTACACTTGCGGTGAAACAATTTATGTGCACCACCATAGTATGATTATTAGATCATCATTGTTGACAACAATACTAGTAAATTAAAAAATAATATAATTATTTAATAATATCTTATTAAAGCATTAATACTTTAAGAAATAATAATTTTTTTACCAATCTTATTTATAGCAACAATAGTACGATAATTACTTGGCTGTGATTTTTAAATTTTATAAACTTATCTGTTAATAAATTTATTACATGAGATATCTACGTAATTTTTTCTAAAAGAAAAGAAGGGCAAAGAGAAAAGCTGAACACAATATTATTGAACATGCATGAATGAAACTTTATGTATGATTAATAATAAATAATGTGATATATATGCTTTTAAAGTGACTAGTGACTTGGCTTCCACTTTCATGTGGTCGGATGCGGGGGAAAAATATGAAAAGAAATGCCATAACATTATTCAATTTCAAAGCAATAACGTACTTTATCTTTTCTATACTTACTAATTGTGCTTTATTTTTCCTTCACAAAAAGTAGAACCAATCATAGAATTTTTTTTTGGCCTGAGAACCAGTCACAGAATTAAATCTCCTTCCATTAATTGTGCATTTTCCAAAAAAATGTCCCAAGACTGACTCAATAAGTTCAAAGAATAACAAACGTTTGATTGTCAGGCTATTTTAACGTGGGATTGCAAATAATGTAAAGCTCTTTTTCTTTAATAAAGTTAAAGGGCATTCATTGATAATGATGGCTGTTCATCATTTAATATTTTAATATTCTGAATTCACTCCACCATTTTCTCTCTTTTCTACTGTTCACGTTAAGAATCATTAAGACTTAAAATCATTTAGTCTTGTTTGATACACAAATGCAATGGAGTGAAAAAGAAAAGAAAATATAAAATTACTTTTTTAATGTAAAATGTCATTTATGACCTTATATGCGAATTAATTAATAATAATAAATATTTTTTCTGATCAATTATTACAATAGAAATATATAATAAATATTTCACATCGTAATTTTCATATGCGATGAAAAAAAAAATTAGCAAGGACCGTAAATTATGTACGCGTCTTTGCATTTAACTTTCTTTTTCTTTTTTTGCCGACTTTTCTTTTTCATTCATATCTGTTTCAAGAGTTAGCCGGTCTCCTTCATGGATTTTGGTCACACACACATATATGAAACACCTATATTGGTTCATAATTTAAACGAATGTACAACATGAGAAGAGGCAATTGCCAGTCAATAAAGAAAAGTCATCAAACTTTTTTTTTTAAAAAAAAGAAAGTCTCTTTAATTTGCTTTTCTTACTGCTTTAGCATGAAACACGACAATGACTTGGGAAACAGAACAATTGTGGGAAAATTAGTTCTTCAAACTTTGAAGGAGACTGCTTTACAATCTTCCAAGCTAAGAAATCAATAAATTAGGGAGAATTTCAATAAAGATGGCAATAGCTAACTAATTTAAAATAAGCATCAAAAGATTATGAAACTACATGATAGGATTAATTAAAAAGTTAAATTGAAATTATGTTTTAATAAAAATTGATCAAAATGACCTTTGTTAAAAAGAAACAAAATCTAACAACCACTATCGGTAGCTATTAGAGATCTTTGAACCCATGACTCCTTGACTTATCACCAAAAACTGTTATTAATACTACAAAAAAAAAATTTTTTTTCAACAATTTTTTTACCCATAACACCACTATCAAAAGGTTCACTTTTGATGGTGATAACTAAAAGTCACTATTAAAAGTGGACAATTAGTGGCGACATTATATCATCCCCAAAAATCATTGCCAAAACTTTATTTTCAATAGTGACTTTAATTTTAATAGTTGCCAACAAAAAAATAACTTTTAATGGTGATATTTTGTCCCGTCAAAAGTATTTTTCATAAGAATGATTTAAAAATTAAAAATAATTTATATAATTACATTTGATGGTAATATTTGTTGTGAAATAATTTATAAAATTATTATTAAAAATATTATGAATTATTTTAAAATTAAATAAAATCATTGAAAAGAAAATGGTGAAATTAAATTCTTATTTTTTATATAGAATAAGAAATAAATTATATATATGATCAAGAAACAAAACAAATAATAATGATGATGTGTTAAGTTTAATTATTAAATTATTTTTTAAATTTTTCATTATACATAAGCTTTTTTAGAGATATATAACATATATTTTTTTAAGAATGATCTTATTAAACTAGTATTTTAATATGATATGATTAAGATCTTGATGGATGATTACTTTCAATTATAATCAGGCTAACTTATATATAAATATTTACTTACATAAAAATACATAAATGATTTATTAGTGTCTATTCTATTTGCTATGCTCTAATGACTTTTTGATAAGAATGCTTTGTGATTATGTCTAGTGTTTTGGTTTCCATTATAACAAATTTGTCTTGTTATAATGAGGTAGAGAATATTTAGATGTTAGCTAGATTAATCATATTTGAGATCATTGTAATTATTTTAAGGGTGTATTTGGGTTAATATTTGATAAAATTGATTTATATGATTGATTTTGAATATAATTAAATATATCATTAATTTATAAAATTGATTGAAATGGTGAAAAGAAACAATGGTTGAAATGAATTTAAAAATGTTGAATTATTTTAAATAAAGAATTAAAAGTAATAATGATGGGAAGTGACCAATTAATGTATTTCATTTTCTCTCCCGCTGTGAAATGAGAGGCAAGATTTACAAAATTATCAGCATTCATACAAGGAAAAGACAGAGAGAGAAACGATGATTATGTCTGGATAATTTTCTTTATACTGCTCACATGCTTTTATATATTTTAGTTTTGACTAACAATTTGGAGAAATTAAAGAAATGGATTTTCTGAGAGTATTATATGATGACTTTGATATTTCTCAGTCTCTGAATAATTTAATTAATGTTGATTAGGATTTGTTTCATGGGCAGGGTTGTCGCCACCTTGGAACTTAGAAGAAAACTGAGAAGAGTACCAAATGGGATGATTTTTTTTTTTTTTGGGCCAAGAAATGGGATGAACTGAATGTGAACGCACAATTGTGTTATCGTTCTAAATAAGATATTAATTAAAAATGATTCATCATGATTTGGGGAAAGGAACCCAATAATGCAAAATTTCTTAATTCATTGGGTTCGACTCCATTTTTGTTTGTACTAGCATCTCATCTACTTCCTCTTTAAAAAATATAAAACATTTTAATTTAACATATTACGCCCATAATAAGTTATTTAAGTATCTTTAAATTAATATCAGCTTTTTATGTTTGATTTTGTTAACATATAATTCTATAAAAAATATTTTATATTTTTAAATAGCGGGAATAATAATTCTTTAAGTTATTGCTTGCTCCTCCTTAAGGAATAAATATCTCACCAAACATATGACATTTTTTAGATGTTCTGATTGGTCCAAAATAAAAGACATCAAGCCAAGTTTTTTTTTGTATATTTTTTAATTATATCCTTATTTTATTATATTCCACTCAAGTAATTAATGAGGGTGTTTGGAATGAGTCAAATGTTATATTTATTCTACTTCAAGAATATGATTAAAAATTTATGAAAAATTTTAGAAAAATTAGATTTAAACCAACTTTTTTTTTAAGAAATGTAATGGTTAAGAATAACTTATATTATGATCTAGAAGGGTATAGAATAAAGTTCAGAAATCATATAATGAGAAAAAGGCCTACTGATTTTCTACTATTAACAGTAACTATGTCCACCCTCATGATGGTGGTGGGTTGATGGACACTTTATGCTTACTCGCTCATGTTTTAAATATAATTAAACTTAACCAACTCACAATTAATAAGAAATGATAATTATTTTTTAAAAATTGTAAAAACATGTGATTTTTTAATTTTATCTTTCTTTACAATTAATACCAATTTTAAATTGTTGTTTAAGAATTTAAAGCATAATAAATAAAAAGAGTTAAAATGGAAAAATGATTAACTACTGGCCATTGTTTTCTAAGTCTACCTTATGTTAAGAAATGTTTAATTGAAATAAACTCCATTCAAATATTTAATATGTTTAAAATAACATGAGTTGATAAAAGTACCGTATTCAATTTATATGCTATTTTAAAACTAATAAATATATGTGAGGGCGTAATTACATATAGTATGCAATTTCACTATACTATGGGTTCAAAATTAAAATTTTCCGACTTCATTTCTTAGGTTCTTATTGGGGCGTGTGTGTCTCTCTCTCTAGATATATATACCTTTTCTCACTATTTCAGAGAAATCAGATCATAGCAGTGAGTAGAGGAGAAAGTAAGATTCTGTTCTACGATCGATCATTGCATAACGCATAGATCGCGATCGCCCTACAATCTTTTTCTTTTCCCTCTGTTTGCCACTAGTTCTATTGTGATCATATCCATTTATTCTTTTATTTTCTTTGGCTATTACTGATATGATTTCGTTGGTGCAGGTTAATATATTCAGACACACCAACAAGAGATGGAATATCCTGTCGGAGGAGAATCTTCCACATGCTCTTTTACTTGTGATTCAACTCCAGAATGGGAATATGACGTTTTCTTGACGTTTACAGGCCACTTGGATTATGCTTTTAATAGAAGTGGGATCAAAACATTTAGGGACGATGTAGATCTTGAGAGAGGAGGAGTTATAAAAGATGATATCTTTCAAGCAATTGAGGATTCTTTCTGTGCAGTTCTTGTTATGTCTGAAAATTATGCAATTTCGACATGGTGTTTGGATGAGCTCCAAAAGATTCTTGAATGTAGGAATAAATTGGGTCGACGTGTTTTTCCCATCTTCTATGATGTTGATCCGGCCGATGTGAGACACCAACGAAGTAGTTTTTGGAAAAGCCTTGGCTGAACATGAAGAGAAATTTGGAAAAGATACAGAGAGGGTGCAAAATTGGATAAATGTTTTATTTGAAATTGGCAATTTGGCTGGTTGGGACACCAGGAGCAAGTATGTTTTCTTTTACAATGAATTAATGATTCCATATTTATTTAGTTTTAATTTATATTATTTTCTACTGATCTTTTGTGCTGTTTTGGTTCGAATCGTTTATGATGATTTTTAGTCTTTCTTTTCATTTCTTTAGACACAATGTAATCCACAGCGACAGGAAATTAAAATGGTTAGAGGCAGAAATGAAATCTATTATTAATAAAGCATGTCTAAAAGATGTACTCCTCTAGTCCTATTTATGTAATTGAGAGAGAAGAAAAAATTTGATTCTATTTATAGTGCACTTATCAATTTTCAATGCTTCTCTTTACATTTTTTTTATTAAATGCTTTGAATAAAAATATCATGGGATTTAAGAATATTTATTAGGAATACAAGTGAAAACTTATTAAATTTTATGATAAATTTAATGAGATTTAAAGTTTTTCTTAGTTCTAGTGAAACATGTTAGAAGTAACTTATAATAGGATCAGAAAGAGTAATATTTCAACAAAGGTTACCCGTTAGGATTAGTTTATTTGGTTTATGAGTTATCAGTCCAAACAAAAAAAAAATCCACTTTTACATGAGTTAAAATTTTCCAACCTAACTCTTATAACAAGTTATTCGGGTCAACCCATATATCTCGTCACGCCCAAAACAATAGGGTGATCAACACAAGATCTGAATCATATCATACATCCCTTAAGCCTTAAATTAAGAAATTTTTCCATTTCCAAAACATAATTATATTTATATTGAAATTATGATATCCTAAAAATATATACTCCCTCCGTTCAAAAATGTAAGACATTTTTAATCGAATCTCACCCCTAATAAAGTGGTTATCTGCTTTCAAACTAACCCTATCTTTCCATATTTACCCTTATTAAATACCCTATAATAAATATAAAATCATTATCAATAGGGGCACTTTTGGAAAAAAGACAATTATTACACCTCAAAAGACTAAAAATGCCTTATATTTTTGAACATCAAACTTCTTAAAAATGCCTTAAATTTTTTTAACAAAGGGAGCACATTATAAACAAAAGTTTTAATATTTTTGTAAAAATTTTGGCAAATCTCCCCTACAAATAGGACCTCCTAAAAATTCTATAATATAATATTTCACACAAAATATCATATCAATCGGGAGCTCAGCTTTTTTTAGTTAGCAGACTAAGTATATAACAAAATAAAGACCCTAACTATACTTATGTGGAAAACCTAACCAATTTTTCATGGTATAATACAAAAATGTGGTCATACATCAAAAGGGAGTGTTATCAAAATAATTATCTACCCCAACTTAGTAGTAAACCCTTATGCCCTATTTGGTATGCTGGAAATGGAGACATGGAAATGGAAATGGAATTGCAATTCACATTTTTTTTTTTGTTTGGTATGCATGAAATGAATTTTTCATGTGGAAATGAAATCCATCAAATAGGTTGAATTGAATTCCATGATAAGACCCTTAGAAATGAGATGGGTTCTATGAAAGTGAATTTTTTTGGACAAAAATAACCTCAGTTATGAAATTATTTGATAGATTTTCCCTTTATCAATCATTGAAGTAAATCAAAAGTTTTTTTAGTAAATATGCATATATTAAATAAAAAATATATCATAATTAAAAAAATTGGCAGGGGTATTTTAGTAAATTAATTATATAGATGCATATATTAAAGAAAAAAGTATATCAAAATTTAAAAAAATAGATAGGGGTATTTTAGTAAATTGATTATATAAGTGCATATATTAAATAAAAATATATCATAATTAAAAAAATTGACAAGGGTATTTTAGTAAATTGATTATACAGATGCACATATTAAATAAAAAAGTGTATCATAATAGGGGTATTTTAGTAAATTGATTATATAAATGCATATATTAATTAAAAAATATATCATAATTTAAAAAATAGATAGGGGTATTTTGTAAATTGATTATATAAGTGCATATATTAAATAAAAATAGATCATAATTAAAAAAATTGACAGGGGTATTTTAGTAAATTGATTATATAGATGCACATATTAAATAAAAAAGTATATCATAATTTAAAAAATAGATAAGGGTATTTTAGTAAATTAATTATATAAATGTATATATTAAATAAAAAGTATATCATAATTAAAAAAATTGACAGGGGTATTTTAGTATATTAATTATATAAATGCATATATTAAATAAAAAGTATATCATAATTCTATGTACATACCAACATACTTTTAAAATTCACTTTCATCTTAATTTCTATTTTTATTTCCATCAAAAACATTTCCATGATACCAAACGAGGCATTAATGGTTCGCAGGAGGCTCAGATTCAATTAAGGGATCTAAGACCAAAAATAATTTTTTAATAAATAACATCCTAACGATAAATAGATGAATAAGAATAAAGGAATAAATTGCAATAATTGCATAAACTAAAGAGACAAAAAATTTTCATATAAAATATTTAATAAACTTTGGAATTAACAGGCTTTATATATCTTTAAATAAAATCTTAGACCATTAAATTATTATATCAATATTATTATCACCTTATTTCAATAAAAAAAATAAACAAAATAAATAAATATAGTAACATCACTAAGTAAAATCAATGGAGGATAAAACCACCAAATAATTAAAACTCACATTTTGGGAAACTTATTAGAACAATTAGCAAACATGAACACATAGTTCATGAGAATAAATAACCAAACACAGTTTAAGCACAAAGACAAACATAAATACACAGTTTACAAAGGTAATGTTAATCGAACACGACTCAAATCTATGAAAATGAAGCAGTTATTAGATCTACGAATAACAAACATGAGAATAGAGCTTACAAAAATCAAACTAGCTAGTCATTGGCCATGATGCATTAGGACTAACAGGACTGTTATTAACAACTAGTGTTCTGTATAAGATCCTCTCCCAAATTCATTTTCACACACATGAGAAAATAGTTACTATTAGGATACAACTTTCATTTTCATTATCAAACTTGCATGAATCATTTCAAGTATCCATTTAATATTTACTAAAATAATTTTTCATAATTAATATCCATGCCTGCATTTATTAATTAATCAAAAATTATCAAAGTTAATGAAATGATTTCATCATTTGAAAGTATATATCATAAGGAACAAACATACATATGCCACAATTTAATTGTTCTTCACCACTATCTTATATTTCAAAATAAAATAATTTAATTAACAAAGTATTCAAAACTCAAAATAATTATTATAAAAAATAATTTATATAAAAATATAATATGCTGGTAAATAATTTTGTTGATAAATTAGTTGGGATACTATCCATTTCATTGAAAATCTCAAAGTTCAAAATTCACCACTTAACTTCAATCAATTTCTCCTCTTTCAAATGCCCTTTAAATTATACTAAGATTTTATTAAACTTTCAACTAGTACACTAGTTCCTTTTCAACACTCCCCACCAATATTAAACTATAATAGATTTGAAACTTAAAAACCAAGGGTTTACACTTTAAAATTCCTCCTCATTAGTATTTTGCCAAAACACAAAATATACATCATTTCTAGCCCACTCATAAAAACTTTTTAGCATTCAAATTTTTCATCATCAAACCATCCTTCTCCAAAAATTCAAATAATTACATATTATTAATTTCATAGTCAAATTTCCTTTGAAACTTTCAAGTTAAGTTCATAGATAAATAACACCCAAGCTAAACATACTTCTCATAAGAATTAATAAAATTTCAAAAATATTCAAAATCAAGCAATAATCCTAACAGGCATTTTTGAAATAGAACGATGGCAGCAATGAATGGAAGAGGAAATGCTTGTCCATTCACGTCACTTGCAATGCCACCATTAATGAAAATTTAAAAAAAATAACGTTTGTAACCTGCCATTTTCTATTATTTTCTAGCTATTAGTTTAAGCATCAGAGTAGTAATAAAATTTTCCTTGTAAGCATCGAAGATTGAAAGAAATAAACCACAGTTTGTTTTCTATTTAGTTTCTGAACCATTTTGGTATCAGAGCAAGGTTTTACATAGAATTGTCAGAAAAACACCCTAGAAGCAAACCTGAGATGACGCTGGTGAAGGAGTTCACTGCCACCCTTATAAGTTGCCCTTCCAACCATTTTTCATAATTTTAACCACACTATCATGCTTAGAAGACAAAAAACATGGAACAAGAGTCGATTAGTCGCCAGAAAAATTCCCCACGTGTCGTCATGCACCACTGCAGGAAATCCCACACATCATTGCTGCCAGTTCACGCACTGTATGCGCCTACTAAAGGTTGAAGATGTTGATGTTATCTGCCACACCATCTGCCATGTCACCCTTCTGACCAGTAAACAATAGGTCAGCCTATTTAAGATCTGCCATGTGTCACAGTAGCCACGCCATCCTGCCTAGTCAGTCTTATTTTTTAAAATTGCAGTTTGACCCTAACCTTTTCAATATTCTTATTTTTGACCCCCAAACTTTTTGAAATTCCATTTTGACCCCTAATGAAATTCTATTTTAGCCCTAAACCTTTTAAAAATTACACTTTAATTCATATAACTTTACATAAATTTCATTTTGACCCCATATTTTTTCAAAATTACATTTAACACCTAACTTTCTAAAATTTTCATTTTTACCCCTATACTTTCCAAAATCCCCATTTTACCCCTATACCTTCTAAAAAAATCTCATTCTACCTATATATCTTTTCAACATTTCTATTTTGCTCTTAAATCTTTCTAATATTCCCAGCCCTCAAATTCACAAAAATTTCCATTTACCCTGATTTTTTCTAAAAATTTATTATCCTAGTCTGAACACCTAACAATATGCCTCCAAGACACATAAATGTGCACGAGGTTGAGATGGAAGAGATAAGACGTAGGATATGAGAGTTGGAA